AGGTTTTGCTCTTCGAAATCATGTAATCTTTTAAATAATAATGAATCACTTTAATAGACACAAACACCTCCACCTTTCTTATTTCTGTCTCTACGAAGTAGTATATAACCATGCAAAGAAAGCATATTATCAGAATCGTTGTCATCAAGTTTAGATTCATTTATGGCTGATATATCAAGAGGCTGATTTATCATAACTACTCTTAATTCATCGATATGTTTAACTAAACTATTTATGTTAAGAGAGCCCATTTTGAAACCTCTCATTTCACTCATTCTTTCGTGGAATGGTTTGAAATCGGAAGAATCCGACCTGTTTGAGTGAATATCAAATGGATGGATGGATTGATGGAACCCTTTATTTTACTACGGCATTGTATCAAATTAAAATATATAGTGATATTAAAATTTGGTTTACATAAAATCCGTACGCAATACAAGTTATATATTTACTATTAAAAAGCTTAATGTTCTAGAACTAGTTTTGCTGGTGCTGATAGTCATAGCCTAGCTTACCCATAAACTCTTTTAGTGAAGTTTCTTCCTTTAAACTTTTTGGCAAATCATTCCAGATTCTTGCTCCGGTAAATGCAAAACTGTTTCTTTAAAAATCTGTGCGACTTTTAGGGAGCGCAAGATTCATTCTGGAAGATCGCAGTCCATAATCATGAAAAGAGAAGCTATGGGCAAACATTTCAGACAGGTACGTACGGGGGGTGAGACCATTCAGTATTTTATGGATGGATGGGTGAGAGATGGAGGGATGCATGGATGGATGGATGGATGGAGAATCACTGAATGGATGGATGAATGTAATCGTCATTTTTGCTAGATTAAAATTTAAAAATGTAAAACGTAAAACAAAAAAAACTGATGCACTGACTAAATTTGGAGATAAATTGAAGGAATCTCAAGTATTGTCCGGCATAAATACAAACCTAGCCAGAACACAACTGCAAAACAAAACACATGAAGCCGCCCGTTTAAAAAATTTTTGGATAAAAATGGATTCATTATATTAGAGTCATTGGAATTATATTTCTGCTTTCACTGCATTGTCAGTGTACAGATATTGTTTTAGCCACAAAGACGGAAAACTAATACCGTTAATTGAGGAATTCGAAACGCATAGTTTGATTTTTCTTTCATCGTATTAAGAAAAATAAACGTTTGTGGTTAAGATTGAGCAGTTGAAATACAGGGTATTTCCGAAAAAGCTGAGCTCGATAGGGCATAACAAGATGCCTTTCGAAGAACTTCATGAAAATCTTTTGTTCACCCATTGTTCTCTTTTTGGAGTCCCTGTTACGTCGTTGATGTTGATGGTTAAATGTAGCTGCATCAAAACAAATCTTTAGTAGCCAGTATTCCAAACGAACAAAGCAAGGCTATTCAGCTAATTTTTAAAATATCGGGACGTGATTTCTCGATATGGCCACCCCAGTTATATAAAGGGATCCTTCACTCTGTATGCAGATGAGTTAGCTGGGTTGATTCTTCGAAATTTTAAAGTTCCGCGGTAAAACACAAAAGAAGTCACCAATTTATTTAGTTAGGTCGGTCAAGTCGTAGTACTTCCCTATTATCGTTGAAAATTAAAAAAGGCATTTATTGAGGATTCATCGACTAATGAATCTACCAAAGTGGTTCAGAAAACAAAAACTATTGCACAATTGACATGCTGGCTAAAAAAAAAAAATAATATAGGATAACAATCTAACATATGCTCGTCTCTTTCAATAATTCGAAAAACTCGACAACAACGAAAGAAAACAAGGCAAAGAGACGATATAAATGCAATTTTCACAATGTAGCGTGTGTCTTTTGTATAGGAGTTTTTCGACCAAAGAAAGACAAATTTAGGTAAAGAAAAACTAAACTTGGATGCCCTATTCAGGTATACAAGCCATTGTTTTGATAAAATGGTTTAATGAGGATTGTTTTGATTGTAGCCAAAAATGAAGTGACGGAAGCTGCGCGGGTTAATTGAAATGGGCCAAGAAACTGGTGCAGCTATGTTAATCACCAAAGGAAGTAGCATAGATATGATCTTTAGCCCGGGCAACAGTTACACGTACATAGTGTTACGTGCACGAATGACCAACAAATGTCTGCTAACAAAGCATACATAAAAGTAGACTCCCGAGTACGATATATGGCACGCAACAAAAATGTAACAACAAGCAGTTACCCATTTTAACTATTATTTAATTAGTTTTACACTGTTTAATCTACTTAGGTTAGAGATTAAGTTAAGTAGTTCAAAAAGTAGGCTTACAATCCTTTATGCCGTAGAAGTGTTCATCGTCTTGATCAACCTCCAATAGACCCTTCCACGGTTTTTACGGCCATATTGTTTGGGGATCAAACAAAACCTCGTTGCGTAGTAACAAACAATATATTATTTTGTAATTATTCGACGCGCGTGGGTACCTTCGCTGAATATCGTAACTTTATAAAGGGAAAATCACTTATTTTCGTCTCCAAATCTAGTGGGAACATAGATAAGGCGTTACTAAAAGTAAGTGCCGAATTTTTGGCGAAGTACCTTTTTATCACTGCGTTTTATGGGCAGATTGATATGTTGTTTGAAGGTGACCTCGTGGCCGCCATGGTGCGAGAATGGCATTTTAAAAAGCACTTCTTTCGGTTGAGAAATTAGAATATGTTTTTTAGCCATCGATATTGTGTAGTTTTAAATTTTAGGATTTATGGTGGGAGTAAGTACTCAAATAAGGTTCTGAAAGCATCTGTATTTTGCATGCCAGTATAGAGTCGAACATCAGCATCTCTGGTTATTTGTGCAGAGGCTGTACACAGTTTTAACCCTGGGGAATCGTCTCCACTTTTCATCAATTCGTCACTTGCAGTGATGATATCACTATTATCAACCGATGTTGATAATCGCCGCCTTTTGGGTGACTTAGTATTTGAATGCTCAAAAGGAGTCAAAAAAAGAGTAGGTATTGGATTGCTTACTGAAGGCTTCCCGTCTCGAAAATGATTGGAGCAGACGACAACACTCTCCCTTGACTTTCCTATTGAGAAATATTTTCTTCCCTTCTGAACCTGTCGAGACCATGCTTCAATTAATGATTGCTTGGGCTTGTGGAACGATAACTTCTGTACATGTGAGTGGATGACCCATTTTTTCGGATCTCCTCTATCGTTGTTACAGCCGCCGACAGAACACCTATCTCCAAAACCCATTAAACCAAGGGTTTCTCTTTGCCGAGTTATTGGTTTTTCAAGAGTATGTTAGCCTGTCTGGACGAAAAGGTTTAAAGAGCACGTAAACACATTTATTTCAATTTTTCCTCTGCACAATTAAGTTACTTAAATACAAAAAGTCATTCGGAAAAGCTGTACTCTGACCTTCTGGCATTA